CTTACTGCTTTCTCTTGGCGAATGTGCTTTCCCAGCAAAGTGAGAGGACATCCAGGACTATAACCAAGTTGGTGAACCACTGGCAGTTCACCTAGCGGAGTTAACCGAAATCCCTGATTCCAAACCAACTAAAAGGAGGCGTATAAACCAAATTCTCCCTCACCTGGGTTGTGGCAGTGATCTTCGGCTAGATTGGGTACCTTGGACGTTTTACCCCGTCCAAAAGGGCGTACAATCCGAGGAACTGGATACCGATCCCCAATGAATTGCGGTTTTCCCACACCATCCCTCTGCCTTGCGGGTTAGGCTTTGGCCATACGAATGCTTCGATTGTGAATTCCCCAAGACGATTCGCCTGCCTTAACCTGGAAAACCTGGCAGTATTCCACCCACCAGGGAATTTTCGTTTTTATAATGCTCATTGTACATCGATTTGTTCGGCACACAGTCTGGATTCAGACGCGTGCCAAATATAAGACAATAAATATTTACTAATGACAGTATATTTATGTATATTTATTACACATCCACACAAATTTTTATTTTGGTGCTTGAACAGATTTTGACCCGGGTGCTTGCATTTCCCTTCCTGTCAGTGACACAAGAATTGTCATCACTTTGATTTTCGTGGTGACTCGAAGTACGTGGGACAGGCAGGATTGCAGCTGTTGATGCGAGTATTTGACTGCAGTATGTCTGAGAATAGATGCCAACCGAATACTCAATCAACCTTACGGCTGATCGACAGCATTCAACCACACACGACTGCATGACGGACCCGTAGGGGAATCATTCGAGCAAACTGTGACCGGATCACAATAACGCAAGCACACCGCAAGCGTTAGCTTATTGACGGTATCAGGTCATCGATTGTTTGTTTCTCTCTCTCAGATGTCTGTTATGCCCATGTATTGACATTCACGGTTGCTCGAATGCGATTTCTGAGTCGTGGAGCTTACTGCCCATGCTGCTTGTACCAATATAGACCAAAGCTGAGGAGTCACGTGACCACTGAACATATCCACAAGATTCAACGCACATCCGCTATGCCAGATCGAATTTTTTTTTAATTTTCAGCCATGTGATCGCGATAGCAACAGCAACAGTGCAGTTAATCGCAGTTATTATCTCGTCAGATCACGAAAAATCGCTTGAGGTTGTGTGGTGATCGTAGCTCAGGGGATGACAGGTTACAGTTTCCGGACATCTATGATGAGTCAAACTGCCCGGGTGATGTCAGTAAATCGCCTACGCGTTACAGCTTTTAGACCTGAAACCATAGACCGATTGTACAAACTAATCAGAAGCCTTGCGGCATAGACAGCTGCTGTACGACTCCAGGAATACGAGCACGCGAATGGTAGATGTCTGGATGAACAATAAACGTCTTTTGTATATGTTATTTAACTAATTTAATTACGTCGCCGTTACGTGGAATACCGTCGTACAAGTGCCAGTGTGATTCGGTGCTTACGTGGCGTCTGTGATTTCTGATACGTGATCGGGACGTAATTCAACTACTACAGAAGTTGAGTGCAGCAGCATCTCGTAATCTGGGTCCCCTAAATCACATCATACCAAAAAACAAACTATCACAATCGCTGTCTGGTGCCAAGTCGCACTGGTGTGGATTGCAACGCTGCAGACCACATCATTCCGCGAACCAAATCATCGCGTGTAACCTGGCATACAATGTGACTGTGTGACGCCACGTATTGCCAAGTGGAATGTGTGTGTTTGAAATGAAGGGATCATGCAGAAAAACGAAAACCGGGAAACGAGACACTCAAATCTTCCTCCGGTGATGTATGGGTAACTCCAGATATGTCACGGTTTCTTTTTGGACGAGTTAGTCAATGTTCCTGATGGGTATGATTTAGTGGTTGCAGTGAAGAATAATTTCGGACGAGCGATGTTTAAATGAAATCCTTTTCTTATTGCAACGTTTAACGTTAAGCACCATAGGACCATTTAAACCGTTTATATGTCATGAGGTGCAGTAGGAATCCCTATGGATCTCCTATTTGATACCTGACCGGTTAAACGGGAAGAACAAAATCGTTTTAGTGATCAGGTTGCTGATAAAACTGTTCCTATATATCCGTAAGACTTAGGAGATTGTGATTTTGTAGGACCCTGGTTTCCCCCTCAGATCAATGGTAATATAATTGTAGCGAGGAGCCAAGTGTAAGCATTCATCATCAATGTATCCGGGATCATGGTCTCCTGATATGGATTAAATGATGACGGGGTATTTGTTACACCCCGGTTTCATATTGAGGTCTGGAACTTAGAGCATGATAGAGTGAGTGCATGTGACACGCTACAACAACAAACCACGCAAACCCGGTGCCCACTGCTCACCCCCTATGTGACGTGTATTTGTTGACGCAATCTCCCTCGGCATGGGGCGCGGTAATAAAATTTGTCATTTCTTTCCCCTGTCCTTGAGAAAAGCAGCACCCAGTTTGTACAGAATTAGGCAATCACGTTACTGATCAACAGCTGAACTATATGGTACTGGCATGCCTAACTTGTTTATCTACAGTTACACACACACAAGGGCTGGATAAAATCGTTACAATTCCATAGTAGTAGTAGTAGTAGTAGTAGTCTCACATTTGTCTGACTCAACTCCTGGAAACATTTATTTGACTTCTAGGCGATAAACCAGTTGCATTCATTCTCTCATTATTGAGTGAATCCGGCGATTTGGAACCAAACTGTGAATGCGTTCAGCATATCGCTCTTGGTGAAATTGTCCAAGTCTGCAACCATCTGTCTCGTCGATGACACATTCCGGAGCCAGTTGGAGAACTGACTAAAACTAAACGTAACTGACGATGTTGAGAAGGATCACAAAAATTGCGACACAACCGCGACGCTATAATTCTTGTCCACGAAGTGAAAGGGTGTACAGATTACGGGCTGAACTATGGGCACACTATTCAGAACTAGCGAACTAGTTTCCCAGAGACTCGTTTGGGGTTTTGCTCTTCTTCTCTGTTTATCGCGAACCAGCGCAGGCCGAACAGCTCTCCACTAAGCGAGTACATTTAACCTGGTTTTCGAAACTAACATTTGCCTGCGCTCTTGCTGGTCTGTGTGTGTGTGTGTTGGTCACTGTTGCAGAATGTATAC